GTCCTTGATGTCCTTGGCCAAATTAAATTCTAATAGGGCTTTAGTTTTCCTAACCTGATCCCTGGCTGCTGATGATTCCTCTGTGTTCCTGCCAGGGTACCTGTCCTCGCTTCCATTTTCTGTAGGCCTCTTCTTTCTCATACAGTTTACCAGTTGCTCCTTGTCCATCCATGCATGCCTATTGGCATGGAGGCCTTTAGTTGTGACCTGACTTTCAGGAGAGCAAGCTAAGGGCAAGATGGCATCCCATCACTTCTGGAGGGGGGAAATTGGAGTCCTGCATCCCTGGAAGAACTGGAAGTGCTTTCTGTAGGGAGAGCAGGGGCTGCAGATGGGTACAGGAATCAGTCGGGGAGATGTCAGGAGCAACAAGTGTACAGGGATGAATAAGCATCTGCATGTTTGCTTTGCAGATGCCTAGCAATCTTACATGCGTTGTTCATATGTATGTATGGTGAAAGAGAGGTTGCTGCTAGGGAACAGATCAGGATGGCAAATAGGAGCTTGTGCCCTCCTAGATGTTCTGGTCAAAATTCTGTCAGTGTATGTGGAGATGGACGTAATCCTTGGTAAACATGGAAAGAAGTCCATGCAAGAACAGAGATGCTACATGAGGACAAAGCAAGGAAAAATAATCTTGTGTGAAGTATGGAGTAAATGTTGCAGTAAAAAATAATGGCATGAGGTACAGAAGGAATGGCTCATCTCTTGTGCTGCATGCCGGAAGAGAGACAAACTGTTAATAGAGCTGAGGGAGAAAGAGAGCAGATGGACTCAAAGCCTGGTGAGATACTGCTAAAAAGTAGGTAAGCTGACAGACTTGGGTATGGGAATAGCATCTGCAGAAAGAAGAGTGCATGTGTACTTAGCTCAGCATTTCACATCCCATGAAAAGGGAGATGGAGAGTGGGGACAGTGAGAAATTTGGTGAAATGATAGACACAGGAGAGAGGGAGAGAAGAGATACATCTTCAAGCAGTGATGAGATGCTGTTCTGGCTTTGTAGGTCATTCACAAAAGAACTCCTTGTTACAGTCTGCATGCAGGACACACACAGAAGGACTCTGTGTTACAGTTTGCCCAAGAAACTGCCATCAAGGTGGGACACAACACAACTCTTCACTGCAATTTCTCCTCCAGCAACTCTGCTCCCTACATCTTCTGGTACCACCAGCGCCTGACACAATCCTCTCAATTCTTGCTGCAGGTTAGCAGGTTCAAACCTCATGTGCATTCTGAGAGGATCTTCTCTGTGCTCTCCATGGAGAACTCCCAGGTGCTTCTCCACATGCAAGATGCCAAGCTCCAGGAAATCGCTGTCTACCTGTGTGCACTGAGCCCACTTTGGCACCTGCAGCATGCAGCTTTATACAGGAAGGTGCAGGTGCTGTGAGGAACAACTCCTTCTCACCAGTGCTTGCATGGAACTCTGAGCTGAGCCTGCCCAGCAAGGACACCTGTGGCTTGTGGTGAGCCAGGTGTGAGTGGCAGCCCCTGCTCCTGATGCCTGGCAGTGTGGTTAGCATAACCAACAGTAAGACAAATATCCAGAATGTGGAAGGGGGCTGTTAATGTGCACCCCTGCCTCCTTGTCTCTCCCTTTCACTGGCCCCAGTGTGTGGAGACAGCCATTGTTGTGGTGAGAAAGGGCACTGGTGTTATCAGGTCCCCAGTGCTGAGTCACCGCGAGGGTGTGTGGAGCACCTACTGACAAGGTGATTAAGCCCATCAGGGTTATCAATACGCAGGTACTGGTTTGCCAGGAGATGGTGACACCAAGAAAACCTAAGATTGAAAAGGGAATTCTCATCCAATGACACATACATTTTAACTTCTGCAGTACTCTTGTTCTACTAATTTAAGGACTTTTTATCTTCTCATACCAGGCTCCCACCAAGGAGGCTGGAGGTGCATAAAAAGCTGGGAGGGGGCACAAGCAGGTTAAAATTCCAGATCCATTATCTGGTGTGCAATGAGCCAATACACACGGAAGGTTTGAGAGATTGTTTATTTTGGAATTGTGCAAGTCAGGGTACCCAGTGACATCCCACAAATCTGGCACCCCTTAGAAATTTCCTCACTACTTTTATACAACCCCTTCTCAATACATTTATGTGCTTGTATAATCCCATTGCCTCTGATTGCTTCCTTAATTAGTATAGTGTTGCCATGTCAGAATTGTTCTGCGCATCCTCAGAGAGGAAGGGTCCCTTGTTAGGGCAGGGTCTCTCAGATTAGGGGTGTGATATTTACTCTTATAATGTGATTGTGACTGACAAATCTGGTGGTTCTTTTACAATGGTGAATAGGGAAAGAGCAATTGACATCATCTGCCTGGACTTGTGCCAAGTATTTGACACCATCCGGCACAACATCCTTCTCTCTGAGCTGGGGAGGCATGGACAGATGGAATGCTCGGTGGATAAAGAATTAGCTGCATGGTCGCGCTCAGACCATGCAGCTAATGGACCCTTGGTATCCCTCAAGGGTCTGTACTGAGACCGGTATTAGTTAATATCTTTCCTGGGGGCATGGAGTATGGCACTGAGTGGCACCCAGAAAGTTTGTTGATGATACCAAGAGGTGCGTTTGACACATTAGAGGGAAGGGATTCCATTCATGGAGACTTAGCCAGGCTTGAGAAATGGGCCCATGCAAGTTTTATGAGGTTCAACAAGGCCAAGTGCAAGGTCCTTCGTGTGGATCAGGGCAATCCCAATCACAACTATGAGCTGGGCTGTGAATAGGTTGAGAGGAGCCCTGAAGAGAAGGACTTGGTGTAGGTGTTTGATGAAAAACTCAACATGAGCAAGCAAAGTGCACTTAGAGCCCAACCGGCCAACCATAATCTAAGCTGCATTGAAAGAGGCGTGAGCAGCAGGTGGTGGGAGGTGATTCTCCCCCTCTACGTTGCTCCAGGAAGACATCAACTGGAGTGCTGCATTCAGCGCTGGGGCTCCCAGCACAAGAAAGACAAAGACCTGTTAGAGTGGGTCCAAAGGAGGGCCACGAAGAGGATCAGAGGGCTGGAGTATGTCAAGGGGTAATGGTTTTAAACTAAAGAAGAGTAGATTTAGATAAGTTATTAGGGAGAAATTGTTTACTATGAGGGTGATGCCAGAGAGGAAGAGGTTCCCCAGAGAACCTGTGGAAGCCCCATCCCTAGAAATATTCAAGGCCTGTTTAGGTGGATTTACATGGCAAGGTTTTCTTCAGAGGAGCTGGAAGAGGGTGGATGTGGGGAAGAACTTGCAATGAACACCCAGATTCCAATGCAAGTTGCAAGCAAAGGAAAAGAATTTTTTATTGGCTCTTCTCTATCTGTCCTGAGATAGCGCAATACCATAGAAACCTCCTAGTGACAGAGTACAGCCTATGAGCACTTTGGTATTTTCTCACTGTCCAAGGTTAAGCGATTTCATGTTAGCGCTTATACTACAAAAACAACCGTTTGGTGTTCCCTATATCCTCCTAATCATCACGTTCCCAGGGCTTTCTGCTGACCAAAGCGATATGACTTTGGTGGCTATCCAAGTTCATATACACCTCTGGCCCAAGAGAAAGTGGTTTTAGTTTGTTTTCTTTGTTTCTCACTTCTCTAGCTAGTTAGTAATAGGCAATATGTTTTCTTAAACTCAGAATACTGAGACTGTTTTGTCCATAACAACAGTTTTTGAGTGATTTCTCTGTCCTTATCTCAAACCTTGAGCTCATTTCATCATATTTTCTCCCCTTTCCCTTTGAGGAGGGTGAGTGAGAGAGCAGCTGTGGTGGTATTCAGATGCAGAGCTGGGTAACACCACCTCAGCCACATTGGATGGCATTCTGAGTAGTCTATTCCAGTGGAAAGTGTTCATGCACATGGCAAGGGGGGTTGATCTAGATGATCTTTAAGGTCCATTCCAATGAAAGACATTCTATGATTCTGCCATTCTGTGATTTTACGGCATCGCTTATGAATTTACAGACTGCACAGAGAAACGCAGAGTCAAAAGCGGAAAGAATGTTAATCCTGGAGAGCGGTGTAAATGGGGATACGATCAAAAGCCAGTACAACAAATCACACACTAGGGGATGTAACAAGGGACCATCAGAGTAAGTTGAGGAGGAAAGGAATGGGAAGGATGTTCAATATCTTCATGCATAGGAGTCCTTGGGCATTTTTCTGAGACTTGGTGGAGCTTCTTCCTCAGAATGGCACATTAAACATCCCCAACAGTGTCACCCAGAAACACATCACCTGACTACTCAAGACATATGCCGCACTTGAGATGAGTATTCCGCCCTCACAGATGCATTCCTGCCCTAGAAATACTTGGACGTTTCATCCCAGCACTCTAAAGAAGCCATCGCTGGGACATGGCCATGACCTAAAATCTGGAAATGAAAAGGCAGCAGTGCAGGAAACCAACGCACAGCCCATATCATTTGTTGGGATGGTTTGCATTCAAGATGAGCTTGTCAGAAAATTGTTACCTCTGCCAAGGGAGACTCTGGGCCAGCAGCAATGAAGGACCAGTATAAAAGGCAGCTCAGCTCCCTGCTCTCCCATCCAATTCTCTCGCCTTGTCCTCCTTGGGAACCAGGTGAGTCTGAAGCCCTCTCTCCTCCTCTTCCAAAGTGGAAGGGATCTTGCATCAATAGACATCAAATCCGATGGTGGCTCAGAGCTACGGAGTTCAGTGCCTTGGAGTTCCTTGCCATGGAAGAGGGCTGGATAGAGAAGTTCTGTATAGGGAGAGGTTGGGAAAGGGGTCTGAGGAAGCTTTTGGTTTATGTGCTATGTGACTATGTGAGGGTGTTCCTGAGCCAGGCTGCTCTTTGAAGGGCCTTGTCAGGACAAAGTGATGAACACCATGTGCCTCCTGGCACAGCCTCCACATCCACCTTCAGCAGTTGCCTTGGCTCTTTTGTGATGGGGTAACTGAGCTGACCCTCACCTACCCATGTGCTCTGCTTCCTCTCTACCATCTTTCCCAGGTGCCTCTCCAGCCCAAGACATGTCCTGCTACAACCAGTGCCTGCCATGCCGGCCCTGTGGCCCGACTCCACTGGCCAGCAGCTGCAACGAGCCCTGCGTCAGGCAGTGCCAGAACTCCACCGTTGTCATTGAGCCCTCTCCCGTGGTGGTGACCCTGCCCGGCCCCATCCTCAGCTCCTTCCCGCAGAACACCGTTGTGGGATCCTCCACCTCCGCTGCCGTTGGCAGCATCCTCAGCTGTGACGGAGTCCCCATCACCTCCGGCTGCTGTGACCTCTCTGGCATTTCCAGCCGCTACTGTGGCAGAAGGTGCCTGCCCTGCTAAAGAAGCCAGTGGCCATGGCCCTGGGGTTCTTCTCCCAGGAACTTCGTATATGGTGCTACACAAAGGAGGAATCTTCAGGCCATTGCTTTCTCAGCTCCTCTGGCAAATGCTGGCAGGAAGGGGCCAGCCTGTGCTTTCTGAAAACATGGCTCATGCCTCTCCTTCCATCTCTCCACCTACCTCCTTCTCTTCCTTTTCCTTGTGCTCTTCTTCTCCCTTGGTCTGTGGGGCTCCTTAGTGCCAGCCCTCCCACTGCGGTAACAGCAGACACATGCCCTGCATGAACTCCACCATGAGCAAGGGACACTACCTCTATGTTGGCCTTGGTGATTCCCACACTGAGGGGCTTCTGCTTGGAGTGACCTCCTTTTCCTCTCTACACTCATTAAAGATTTCTGCATCCCAGCCTTGTGTGTAGATTTTTCTTCCCTCGGTGTATGCTCATCTGAGCTGCCCAGGGAGGATGGCTTTGCCCTTGGTGGGTATAAGACGGGTGTTTATGGAACCCCTTCCCCACTCCCAGAAGAATGGCAATTTGTGACACACTGCAGAGGGTTGTCTCTTGGGCACTGCCCCTTGGAGATGGAGAAGACATCCCTGGCTTTTGCAGAGAGATAGAGGGAGGGTAAGAGAAGGAAGAGAGGAGGGGAAGCGAAGGGAGAGGAGGGGACGGGAGAGGAAGGCAGGGGAGGGTATTGAAGGGAAGAGGAGGTGAATCATCACAGCACTGGATAATATGGATGTTATTTTGTTCAGGGAGATGTTGGCAAGGGGTGTGTATAGAGGAGGGAGCATGTCCCAGGGCAAAACACAACCATAGCCAAGTAAGAGCGAGCAGACAGTGTCTTGTGTCTCCTCAGATGGCCTCTGCCCAGGCTGAGGAGTGCAGCTGCCCACTTTCCCCTTTGCAGGCTCCACGGTTATGGAAGCTGAGCACATAACCAGGAGACACACAGACAGGGATGTGTATGCCCCGTCTGGGGAAGATATACCCAGTCTGGTACTGGCAGTGGCTGCTTTTGGGGGCCCAAAATGCTCCTGATGCATTTGCCTGGAGGCCGAGACCTCCTCCCCCTGCTCCAGGAGCTGCACAGGGACGTCCTGGCTCCAGCAGCTGACAGCATAGGCCGGGGCAGCCTCGCCCCCAGTCTGACTCTGGCAGCTGGCACCAAATCTGCTCTCATTTTTCTACCAGGAGCTGGCACTTTCTCCTTGCAGTACACGTGCACACAGGTAAGGACAGATTCCAGAAGAGGACAGGACACCCCGCTCCGTCTGCCCTTGTGTGCTCCTCCCAGCTCCCCTTGCCCTGCACGTCCCCACATGGGTTTGTATGGGTCTATCCCACACCCATTCCTGCCGGCGTCCATGTTTCACAACCATTGCAGTTGCAAGGCTCAGGCTGATCTTCCTGGCAGTGGCACCTGTGGCTTCTTGATAGGCCAACAACCAGTGTGAATTGCGAGGTTTCTGTCGTGATCGCCTTCATGTTTCTTTGGTCTGGTCGCTGTCTCTGTATGCTTGTTGATTGTGTTCCCTTTTCTTAGCGTCCCAACTGAAAACATCCCCAATCTGATAATCGCGCTAGCATAAACACGGCCACAGCCCCGCATAGCCCCCCACAAGTGGTGTGCCCCCTCCCCCCCCTCACCTGCCTCCCTCATCATCTGTCAGAGAAAACAAACAAAGAAACAAACACCCTTTGTTTCTCAGTTTTCCCATGGCTTCCTTCACCTTATAGGTCTTCAGGCTCTAGGTTGGTGCATGGAGCAGGGGCATCACAGCCCTGGAGATGCTGAACACCACTGTTCAGGGCGATGTTTGCAATGGGGTGGGTAGAGAGGAAGGAGCATGGCCCCAGGCACAACACAACTGCAGCCAAGTGAGAGTGAGCAGACGGTGTCTTGTGTCTCCTCACAAGCCTACTTCCAGAGGGCAACAAGGAACACCCTACAGGAGCTCAAGGAAGACAGGAAAACTGATGGTGCTATTGTAATCAAGGAGCACAGCAGTGCAGAAGCTCTCAGCAGATGCCAGCTGCATGACAGGTAGCAAGTCCCAGAAGAAGCCGTCAGTTACTATGTAGGGGCAGCACAGGATTATCGAAGCAGGAGTGCCACTTGTGCCAAGGAAGGGTGCAGGAGCTCAGTCCACAGGCTTCCCACCAAACAGGCACATACCTTCTCTCCCATGGCAGTGGATGGTAGATGCCAACAGATCTATCCTGGTCCTTGAGTGTGAAGAGAAGATCCCATTTTAGGCCCACTATTAGAGGAAGAGGAGCTAGACCACACAGCTAGAGAACAAAATTATCCTCGCTACACAGAAGGCATCTAAAAGCATAAGAGGCATCCTGACCAAGACATGGCAGGGATGACACCCACTAGATCAGGTTGTCCAGGGCCATCTGGTCGTGAACACCTCCAGGGACTGGGCATACACACCTTCTCTGTGCATGCTGTTCTAGTGCCTCAACAACCTTTGTATTGCCTCCTAACATCTAATCTAAATCTCCCTTCCTTTACTTTAAAGCCATTATCCCTAAATCCTATCATTACCTGATGTACTAGATGTTGCTCTCCATCTTTTTTATAAGACCCTTTTAAGTATTAAAGAGCTGCAATCAGGTCTCTCTGGAGCCTTCTCTTCTGCAGACTGAACATCCCCAGCTCTCTCAGACTTTCTTTGTAGGAGAAGTGCTCCAGCCCTCCAATCATTTTGTGGCTGTCCTCAGGACCTACTCTAACAGGTCCACATTCTTCTCGTGCTGGGGACCCCAGACCTGGCTGCAGCACTCCCAAGTGGGACCTCACAAGGTCATAGCAGAGGGGGACAATCACCTCCATTGACCTGCTGGCCACTTCTCTTGATACAGCCCAGGATGCAGTTGCCATTCTGGGTTACAAGTGCGTGCTGATGGCTCATGTTGCACTTCTTGTCCACCAGAACCCGCAAAAGTCCGTCTCTGCAGGGCTGCTCTCAATGACTTCACCCATTCTGTGCCCATGCCTGGGATTGCCCCAAACCAGGTGCGGCACGTTGCAGTTGGACTTCTTGAACCTCATGAGGTTCACATGGGCCCACTTCTCAAGCTTCTCCAGGTCCCTTGGGATGGTATCCCTTCGTTCTGCTGTACCAACTGCATTGGTCAGCTTCATGTCATAAAAAGACACGAAACAGAACCAGTCTGTAGGCAGACACCGGAAGGACACCAAAATTCCCACCAAAGCAATGGCTTTCTCCCTTGGCCATCTCTTTGCAGATGGAAAGACCAGACAGGGACACACTCGGGGATGCTGCAAAAGTTTATTGAATCTCAGGAGGGAAAAGAGGTGACTACAAGAAGAGGCCCTGAGAGTGGAGATCAGCAAGAGCCACCAAAATCTGTTCGGATTTTGAATGGCAGACTTGCCACAGGGTATCCGTCTAACTGGACCCACAAGTGGAGAGAGGCTTGCATGTCACACCAGGTTGGTTTCTGGGGATTTCACAGAGAGCTTGGAGGGCAGCAGAAGGCAACAAGGAAAAGAGAGAAAAAGAGTGAGTGAGTGGAAAACAGAAAAGGTAAACATTGGCCATGTTGACAGAGAGACCAGGTTGGCCCCTTCCTGTCTGTCTTTACAGGACAAGACAGAGATGGTCAGCCCCTCTTAAAACAGGAGCGTGAAGGTCTGTTCTTCTGTCCAGCAGCATGTTGTGAGTTCCTGGGGTCCTGGTCTGGGGCACTGTCTGGCATCTTTAGCAGGGGCGGCACCTGCTGCCACAGTAGCGACTGGCAATACAGGAGAGGTCACAGCACCCGGAGTTGATGGGAACTCCGTCACAGCTGAGGATGCTGCCAACGGCAGCAGAGGTGGAGGATCCCACAACGGTGTTCTGTGGGAAGGAGCTGAGGATGGGGCCGGGCAGGGTCACCACCACAGGAGAGGGCTGGATGACGATGGTGGAGTTCTGGCACTGCCTGACACAGGGCTCATTGCAGCTGCTGGCCAGTGGAGTTGGGCCACAGGGCTGGCACGGCAGGCAGGGCTGGCACTGGTCGTAGCAGGACATGTCTGGGGGCAGGAGGTTCACCTGGGAGAGAGGGCAGGGAGGAAGCAGAACATGGGGATGCATGACGAGCAGCCTGTCACCACACCCTAACAAAACCAAGGCACAGGCCATAGTGAGAGCTGGAGGCTGTGCAGGGATGTGTGAGGGCTTCTTGGCCTCATCCTGCCAGGGCCCAAAAGGAGACACCAGAGACTATCTGGCTACAGACTAGGCCCTAGTCCAGAAGCAATCTTAATGCACACCCAGCATCCCTCTGTGAGAAACCTGCTTCCCTCCTCCACAACCAGAAACCCCGAAATTTGGCATAGAACAGAGCTGATTGTAGCTGAGAAGTCCATGGAGATGAGACCTCGGATAATGAGGAGGACAAGAAGGGGCTTCACACTCACCTGGTTCCCAAGGAGGAGAAGGCCAGAGAAGTGGATGAGGGAGCACGGGGCTGGGCTGGCTTTTATAGTGGACCTTAGCTGCCCCATGTCCAGAGACATCCCTTGAAGCAGTGATTATTTCCTGACAAGCTCCTCTTGGATGCAAAACATCCCAGCTAATGATATGGGCTGTGTATTTCCTTCCTGTGATGATGTTTTTCATTTCCTGCTTATGCTGTTTCCCAGTTATGTCGCCTTTTGAGTGGCAGGTAGGAAGGCCCAGGTATTCCCAGGCAACACATGTCATTGTGGACAGAAGACTCAGCTCACATGCTGGAAGAGTCCGGTAAAGGCAGATGATGTCAGCCTGGGTGACTCCTTAGGGGCTCTTTAGAGCCCTTTTTGCGACAGGTGTCCCAACTCCTACTGTGACCCTAATCCACCTAACACTGTCCTCAGGGAAAACCTGCTGGCCTGCTTTGCCTCCTCCTGCTCTGACCCAGGGATGCCTGTATGGGGGGAGAAGTTGTTCAGGGTCCTTTCTGGATCACAAAAGAAAGGCCCAACAGGACATTGTCTGTTTTATTTATAAGGAATAAGAAGAGGAATGTAGACATAGAGTAAATCTTTCATGTACAGGTGACCTGGCTTTTGTGCAGCATCAGACAGAACTACATGGATTTTTTCCAAGACACGCAGTGCAGATCCATGTCCCTAAAGAATTCCTTCTTCACACCCATGCCTTGATGCCTTTCATTTTTGTGTTTTTTTTTTTTTAAATTAAAAAACCATACACCTTCTCCTAGGCACGCCCTCCTACCCGAGTAGCTGCAGACCCTGACAAAGGGCCCTCTGAAAATAAGGGTTATTTCATCTGCTGAGAGCCTGTTGAGTCTCAAGGAATTGTCTTTTCACCTGGGTCAGGATCCAGGACAGCCTCACACAATCGGATGTTCCCCAGAGAGCTGTTGGGATGCACTGGGGAAGGATTTGGTCTAGGCTTGGGGCTCTCCACAGTGAGACCCAAACACTCCAGCCCTGAACCCATGTCAACAGACTACCAGGAGGTAACACTGCACCAGCACCTGGCAGCACTACACAGACATGACACAGGTTCTGGGACCAGCTGGACATATGCCCAGGGTCAGGTGAATTATGTGCACACAGATACACTGGCAAATACTGTGTTGGGTCTGTCTGGGATGGAGTCACCTTGCCCTGCAGCAGCCCACACAGTGCTGTACTCTGCACTCGTAGCTTGAACAGCACTGATACCACTCCAGTGTTGTGTCTATTTCTGCATAGTACTGGCACAGCATCAGGACTTCTTCCAAGCCCCCAAGAGCCAGCAGGCTGGGGGTGGGCTAGTGAAGAGGAGGGGACATTGCCAGGGCAGCTGGCAATGGAATTGCCAATCCCAGTCGAAGGGATATTCCATAACACCTGATGTTACACTCAGCCATAAAAGGTGGAAAAAGGAAGAAGAGGGGACGGGTGGGCTCTCGTTGTGAAAATGTCTGTTTTACTCAGGTGGGCAGCCGAGCTCCATCACAACCACTCTCTCACTCCCCCTCTCCTCAAACAAAAGGGGGAGAAAATACAACACAGACAACTCGAGGTTTGAGATGAGAAAGGTTTAATTAAAGGGAAAAAGAATGGGGAGAAAAAGAAACAAAAGAAAAAATAAGTCTGTGCGGAAGCATAGAGAGAAGTAAAAAAAATATACTCTACTTCCCATCAACGAGCAATATTCGGCCACGTCCTGGGAAGCAGGATCTCAAAACGCATAGTGGTTGTTCAGGAGGAGGTGTTCTGTGGGAAGGAACTGAGGATGGGGCTGGGCAGGGTCACCACCACAGGAGAGGGCTGGATGACGATGGTGTAGTTGCACCTTGGACTTTTAATTTAAAAAAAAAAAAAAAAACACAAAAATGAAAGGCATCAAGGCATGGGTGTGAAGAAGGAATTCTTTAGGGACAGGATCTGCACTGTGTGTCTTGGAAAAAATCCATGTAGTTCTGTCTGATGCTGCACAAAAGCCAGGTCACCTGTACATGAAAGATTTACTCTATGTCTACATTCCTCTTCTTATTCCTTATAAATAAAACAGACAATGTCCTGTTGGGCCTTTCTTTTGTGATCCAGAAAGGGCCCTGAACAACTTCTCCCCCCATACAGGCATCCCTGGGTCAGAGCAGGAGGAGGCAAAGCAGGCCAGCAGGTTTTCCCTGAGGACAGTGTTAGGTGGATTAGGGTCACAGTAGGAGTTGGGACACCTGTCGCAAAAAGGGCTCTAAAGAGCCCCTAAGGAGTCACCCAGGCTGACATCATCTGCCTTTACCGGACTCTTCCAGCATGTGAGCTGAGTCTTCTGTCCACAATGACATGTGTTGCCTGGGAATACCTGGGCCTTCCTACCTGCCACTCAAAAGGCGACATAACTGGGAAACAGCATAAGCAGGAAATGAAAAACATCATCACAGGAAGGAAATACACAGCCCATATCATTAGCTGGGATGTTTTGCATCCAAGAGGAGCTTGTCAGGAAATAATCACTGCTTCAAGGGATGTCTCTGGACATGGGGCAGCTAAGGTCCACTATAAAAGCCAGCCCAGCCCCGTGCTCCCTCATCCACTTCTCTGGCCTTCTCCTCCTTGGGAACCAGGTGAGTGTGAAGCCCCTTCTTGTCCTCCTCATTATCCGAGGTCTCATCTCCATGGACTTCTCAGCTACAATCAGCTCTGTTCTATGCCAAATTTCGGGGTTTCTGGTTGTGGAGGAGGGAAGCAGGTTTCTCACAGAGGGATGCTGGGTGTGCATTAAGATTGCTTCTGGACTAGGGCCTAGTCTGTAGCCAGATAGTCTCTGGTGTCTCCTTTTGGGCCCTGGCAGGATGAGGCCAAGAAGCCCTCACACATCCCTGCACAGCCTCCAGCTCTCACTATGGCCTGTGCCTTGGTTTTGTTAGGGTGTGGTGACAGGCTGCTCGTCATGCATCCCCATGTTCTGCTTCCTCCCTGCCCTCTCTCCCAGGTGAACCTCCTGCCCCCAGACATGTCCTGCTACGACCAGTGCCAGCCCTGCCTGCCGTGCCAGCCCTGTGGCCCAACTCCACTGGCCAGCAGCTGCAATGAGCCCTGCGTCAGGCAGTGCCAGAACTCCACCATCGTCATCCAGCCCTCTCCTGTGGTGGTGACCCTGCCCGGCCCCATCCTCAGCTCCTTCCCACAGAACACCGTTGTGGGATCCTCCACCTCTGCTGCCGTTGGCAGCATCCTCAGCTGTGACGGATGTCCCCATCAACTCCGGGTGCTGTGACCTCTCCTGTATTGCCAGTCGCTACTGTGGCAGCAGGTGCCGCCCCTGCTAAAGATGCCAGACAGTGCCCCAGACCAGGACCCCAGGAACTCACAACATGCTGCTGGACAGAAGAACAGACCTTCACGCTCCTGTTTTAAGAGGGGCTGACCATCTCTGTCTTGTCCTGTAAAGACAGACAGGAAGGGGCCAACCTGGTCTCTCTGTCAACATGGCCAATGTTTACCTTTTCTGTTTTCCACTCACTCACTCTTTTTCTCTCTTTTCCTTGTTGCCTTCTGCTGCCCTCCAAGCTCTCTGTGAAATCCCCAGAAACCAACCTGGTGTGACATGCAAGCCTCTCTCCACTTGTGGGTCCAGTTAGATGGATACCCTGTGGCAAGTCTGCCATTCAAAATCTGAACAGATTTTGGTGGCTCTTGCTGATCTCCACTCTCAGGGCCTCTTCTTGTAGTCACCTCTTTTCCCTCCTGAGATTCAATAAACTTTTGCAGCATCCCCGAGTGTGTCCCTGTCTGGTCTTTCCATCTGCAAAGAGATGGCCAAGGGAGAAAGCCATTGCTTTGGTGGGAATTTTGGTGTCCTTCAGGTGTCTGCCTACAGACTGGTTCTGTTTCGTGTCTTTTTATGACATGAAGCTGACCAATGCAGTTGGTACAGCAGAACGAAGGGATACCATCCCAAGGGACCTGGAGAAGCTTGAGAAGTGGGCCCATGTGAACCTCATGAGGTTCAAGAAGTCCAACTGCAACGTGCCGCACCTGGTTTGGGGCAATCCCAGGCATGGGCACAGAATGGGTGAAGTCATTGAGAGCAGCCCTGCAGAGACGGACTTTTGCGGGTTCTGGTGGACAAGAAGTGCAACATGAGCCATCAGCATGCACTTGTAACCCAGAATGACAACTGCATCCTGGGCTGTATCAAGAGAAGTGGCCAGCAGGTCAATGGAGGTGATTGTCCCCCTCTGCTATGACCTTGTGAGGTCCCACTTGGGAGTGCTGCAGCCAGGTCTGGGGTCCCCAGCACGAGAAGAATGTGGACCTGTTAGAGTAGGTCCTGAGGACAGCCACAAAATGATTGGAGGGCTGGAGCACTTCTCCTACAAAGAAAGTCTGAGAGAGCTGGGGATGTTCAGTCTGCAGAAGAGAAGGCTCCAGAGAGACCTGATTGCAGCTCTTTAATACTTAAAAGCGCCTTATAAAAAAGATGGAGAGCAACATCTAGTACATCAGGTAATGATAGGATTTAGGGATAATGGCTTTAAAGTAAAGGAAGGGAGATTTAGATTAGATGTTAGGAGGCAATACAAAGGTTGTTGAGGCACTAGAACAGCATGCACAGAGAAGGTGTGTATGCCCAGTCCCTGGAGGTGTTCACGACCAGATGGCCCTGGACAACCTGATCTAGTGGGTGTCATCCCTGCCATGTCTTGGTCAGGATGCCTCTTATGCTTTTAGATGCCTTCTGTGTAGCGAGGATAATTTTGTTCTCTAGCTGTGTGGTCTAGCTCCTCTTCCTCTAATAGTGGGCCTAAAATGGGATCTTCTCTTCACGCTCAAGGACCAGGATAGATCTGTTGGCATCTACCATCCACTGCCATGGGAAAGAAGGTATGTGCCTGTTTGGTGGGAAGCCTGTGGACTGAGCTCCTGCACCCTTCCTTGGCACAAGTGGCACTCCTGCTTCGATAATCCTGTGCTGCCCCTACATAGTAACTGACGGCTTCTTCTGGGACTTGCTACCTGTCATGCAGCTGGCATCTGCTGAGAGCTTCTGCACTGCTGTGCTCCTTGATTACAATAGCACCATCAGTTTTCCTGTCTTCCTTGAGCTCCTGTAGGGTGTTCCTTGTTGCCCTCTGGAAGTAGGCTTGTGAGGAGACACAAGACACCGTCTGCTCACTCTCACTTGGCTGCAGTTGTGTTGTGCCTGGGGCCATGCTCCTTTCTCTCTACCCACCCCATTGCAAACATCGCCCTGAACAGTGGTGTTCAGCATCTCCAGGGCTGTGATGCCCCTGCTCCATGCACCAACCTAGAGCCTGAAGACCTATAAGGTGAAGGAAGCCATGGGAAAACTGAGAAACAAAGGGTGTTTGTTTCTTTGTTTGTTTTCTCTGACAGATGATGAGGGAGGCGGTGAGGGGGGGAGGGGGCACACCACTTGTGGGGGGCTATGCGGGGCTGTGGCCGTGTTTATGCTAGCGCGATTATCAGATTGGGGATGTTTTCAGTTGGGACGCTAAGAAAAGGGAACACAATCAACAAGCATACAGAGACAGCGACCAGACCAAAGAAACAGTGAAGGCGATCACGACAGAAACCTCGCAATTCACACTGGTTGTTGGCCTATCAAGAAGCCACAGGTGCCACTGCCAGGAAGATCAGCCTGAGCCTTGCAACTGCAATGGTTGTGAAACATGGACGCCGGCAGGAATGGGTGTGGGATAGACCCATACAAACCCATGTGGGGACGTGCAGGGCAAGGGGAGCTGGGAGGAGCACACAAGGGCAGACGGAGCGGGGTGTCCTGTCCTCCTTCTGGAATCTGTCCTTACCTGTGTGCACGTGTACTGCAAGGAGAAAGTGCCAGCTCCTGGTAGAAAAATGAGAGCAGATTTGGTGCCAGCTGCCAGAGTCAGACTGGGGGCGAGGCTGCCCCTGGCCTATGCTGTCAGCTGCTGGAGCCAGGATGTCCCTGTGCAGCTCCTGGAGCAGGGGGAGGAGGTCTCGGCCTCCAGGCAAATGCATCAGGAGCATTTTGGGCCCCCAAAAGCAGCCACTGCCAGTACCAGACTGGGTATATCTTCCCCAGACGGGGCATACACATCCCTGTCTGTGTGTCTCCTGGTTATGTGCTCAGCTTCCATAACCGTGGAGCCTGCAAAGGGGAAAGTGGGCAGCTGCACTCCTCAGCCTGGGCAGAGGCCATCTGAGGAGACACAAGACACTGTCTGCTCGCTCTTACTTGGCTATGGTTGTGTTTTGCCCTGGGACATGCTCCCTCCTCTATACACACCCCTTGCCAACATCTCCCTGAACAAAATAACATCCATATTATCCAGTGCTGTGATGATTCACCTCCTCTTCCCTTCAATACCCTCCCCTGCCTTCCTCTCCCGTCCCCTCCTCTCCCTTCGCTTCCCCTCCTCTCTTCCTTCCCTTACCCTCCCTCTATCTCTCTGCAAAAGCCAGGGATGTCTTCTCCATCTCCAAGGGGCAGTGCCCAAGAGACAACCCTCTGCAGTGTGTCACAAATTGCCATTCTTCTGGGAGTGGGGAAGGGGTTCCATAAACACCCGTCTTATACCCACCAAGGGCAAAGCCATCCTCCCTGGGCAGCTCAGATGGGCATACACGGAGGGAAGAAAAATCTACACACAAGGCTGGGATGCAGAAATCTTTAATGAGTGTAGAGAGGAAAAGGAGGTCACTCCAAGCAGAAGCCCCTCAGTGTGGGAATCACCAAGGCCAACATAGAGGTAGTGTCCCTTGCTCATGGTGGAGTTCATGCAGGGCATGTGTCTGCTGTTACCGCAGTGGGAGGGCTGGCACTAAGGAGCCCCACAGACCAAGGGAGAAGAAGAGCACAAGGAAAAGGAAGAGAAGGAGGTAGGTGGAGAGATGGAAGGAGAGGCATGAGCCATGTTTTCAGAAAGCACAGGCTGGCCCCTTCCTGCCAGCATTTGCCAGAGGAGCTGAGAAAGCAATGGCCTGAAGATTCCTCCTTTGTGTAGCACCATATACGAAGTTCCTGGGAGAAGAACCCCAGGGCCATGGCCACTGGCTTCTTTAGCAGGGCAGGCACCTTCTGCCACAGTAGCGGCTGGAAATGCCAGAGAGGTCACAGCAGCCGGAGGTGATGGGGACTCCGTCACAGCTGAGGATGCTGCCAACGGCAGCAGAGGTGGAGGATCCCACAACGGTGTTCTGAGGGAAGGAGCTGAGGATGGGGCCAGGCAGGGTCACCACCACAGGAGAGGGCTCAATGACAACGGTGGAGTTCTGGCACTGCCTGACGCAGGGCTCGTTGCAGCTGCTGGCCAGTGGAGTCGGGCCACAGGGCCGGCATGGCAGGCACTGGTTGTAGCAGGACATGTCTTGGGCTGGAGAGGCACCTGGGAAAGATGGTAGAGAGGAAGCAGAGCACATGGGTAGGTGAGGATCAGCTCAGTTACCCCATCACAAAAGAGCCAAGGCAACTGCTGAAGGTGGATGTGGAGGCTGTGCCAGGAGGCACATGGTGTTCATCACTTTGTCCTGACAAGGCCCTTCAAAGAGCAGCCTGGCTCAGGAACACCCTCACATAGTCACATAGCACATAAACCAAAAGCTTCCTCAGACCCCTTTCCCAACCTCTCCCTATACAGAACTTCTCTATCCAGCCCTCTTCCATGGCAAGGAACTCCAAGGCACTGAACTCCATAGCTCTGAGCCACCATCGGATTTGATGTCTATTGATGCAAGATCCCTTCCACTTTGGAAGAGGAGGAGAGAGGGCTTCAGACTCACCTGGTTCCCAAGGAGGACAAGGCGAGAGAATTGGATGGGAGAGCAGGGAGCTGAGCTGCCTTTTATACTGGTCCTTCATTGCTGCTGGCCCAGAGTCTCCCTTGGCAGAGGTAACAATTTTCTGACAAGCTCATCTTGAATGCAAACCATCCCAACAAATGATATGGGCTGTGCGTTGGTTTCCTGCACTGCTGTCTTTTCATTTCCAGATTTTAGGTCATGGCCATGCCCTAGTGATGGCTTCTTTAGAGTGCTGGGATGAAACGTCCAAGTATTTCTAGGGCAGGAATGCATCTGTGATGGCAGAATACTCATCTCAAGTGCGGCATATGTCTTGAGTAGTCAGGTGATGTGTTTCTGGGTGACACTGTTGGGGATGTTTAATGTGCCATTCTGAGGAAGAAGCTCCACCAAGTCTCAGAAAAATGCCCAAGGACTCCTATGCATGAAGATATTGAACATCCTTCCCATTCCTTTCCTCCTCAACTTACTCTGATGGTCCCTTGTTACATCCCCTAGTGTGTGATTTGTTGTACTGGCCTTTGATCGTATCCCCATTTACAACCGCTCTCCAGGATTAACATTCTTTCCGCTTTTGACTCTGCGTTTCTCTGTGCAGTCTGTAAATTCATAAGCGATGCCGTAAAATCACAGAATGGCAGAATCATAGAATGTCTTTCATTGGAATGGACCTTAAAGATCATCTAGATCAACCCTCCTTGCCATGTGCATGAACACTTTCCACTGGAATAGACTACTCAGAATGCCATCCAATGTGGCTGAGGTGGTGTTACCCAGCTCTGCATCTGAATACCACCACAGCTGCTCTCTCACTCACCCTCCTCAAAGGGAAAGGGGAGAAAATATGATGAAATGAGCTCAAGGTTTGAGATAAGGACAGAGAAATCACTCAAAAACTGTTGTTATGGACAAAACAGTCTCAGTATTCTGAGATTAAGAAAACATATTGCCTATTACTAACTAGCTAGAGAAGTGAGAAACAAAGAAAACAAACTAAAACCACTTTCTCTTGGGCCAGAGGTGTATATGAACTTGGATAGCCACCAAAGTCATATCGCTTTGGTCAGCAGAAAGCCCTGGGAACGTGATGATTAGGAGGATATAGGGAACACCAAAAGGTTGTTTTTGTAGTATAAGCGCTAACATGAAATTGCTTAACCTTGGACAGTGAGAAAATACCAAAGTGCTCATAGGCTGTACTCTGTCACTAGGAGGTTTCTATGGTATTGCGCTGTCTCAGGACAGATAGAGAAGAGCCAATAAAAAATTCTTTTCCTTTGCTTGCAACTTGCATTGGAGTCTGGGTGTTCATTGCAACTTCTTCCCCACATCCACCCTCTTCCAGCTCCTCTGAAGAAAACCTTGCCATGTAAATCCACCTAAACAGGCCTTGAATATTTCTAGGGATGGGGCTTCCACAGGTTCTCTGGGGAACCTCTTCCTCTCTGGCATCACCCCCATAGTAAACAATTTCTCCCTAATAACTTATCTAAATCTACTCTTCTTTAGTTTAAAACCATTACCCCTTGACGTACTCCAGCCCTCTGATCCTCTTTGTGGCCCTCCTTTGGACCCACTCTAACAGGTCTTTGTCTTTCTTGTGCTGGGAGCCCCAGCGCTGAATGCAGCACTCCAGTTGATGTCTTCCTGGAGCAACGTAGAGGGGGAGAATCACCTCCCACCACCTGCTGCTCACGCCTCTTTCAATGCAGCTTAGATTATGGTTGGCCGGTTGGGCTCTAAGTGCACTTTGCTTGCTCATGTTGAGTTTTTCATCAAACACCTACACCAAGTCCTTCTCTTCAGGGCTCCTCTCAACCTATTCACAGCCCAGCTCATAGTTGTGATTGGGATTGCCCTGATCCACACGAAGGACCTTGCACTTGGCCTTGTTGAACCTCATAAGACTTGCATGGGCCCACTTCTCAAGCCTGGCTAAGTCTCCATGAATGGAATCCCTTCCCTCTAATGTGTCAAACGCACCTCTTGGTATCATCAACAAACTTTCTGGGTGCCACTCAGTGCCATACTCCATGCCCCCAGGAAAGATATTAACTAATACCGGTCTCAGTACAGACCCTTGAGGGATACCAAGGGTCCATTAGCTGCATGGTCTGAGCGCGACCATGCAGCTAATTCTTTATCCACCGAGCATTCCATCTGTCCATGCCTCCCCAGCTCAGAGAGAAGGATGTTGTGCCGGATGGTGTCAAATACTTGGCACAAGTCCAGGCAGATGATGTCAATTGCTCTTCCCCTATCCACCATTGTAAAAGAACCACCGGATTTGTCAGTCACAATCACATTATAAGAGTAAATATCACACCCCTAATCTGAGAGACCCTGCCCTAACGAGGGACCCTTCCTCTCTGAGGATGTGCAGAACAATTCTGACATGGCAACACTATGCTAATTAAGGAAGCAATCAGAGGCAATGGGATTATACAAGCACATAAATGTATTGAGAAGGGGTTGTATAAAAGTAGTGAGGAAATTTCTAAGGGGTGCCAGATTTGTGGGAAGTCACTGGGTACCCTGACTTGCACAATTCCAAAATAAACAATCTCTCAAACCTTCCGTGTGTATTGGCTCATTGCACACCAGATAATGGATCTGGAATTTTAACCCGCTTGTGCCCCCTCCCAGCTTTTTATGCACCTCCAGCCTCCTTGGTGGGAGCCTGGTATGAGAAGATGAAAAGTCCTTAAATTAGTAGAACAAGAGTACTGCAGAAGTTAAAATGTATGTGTCATTGGATGAGAATTCCCTTTTCAATCTTAGGTTTTCTTGGTGTCACCATCTCCTGGCAAACCAGTACCTGCGTATTGATAACCCTGATGGGCTTAATCACCTTGTCAGTAGGTGCTCCACACACCCTCGTGGTGACTCAGCACTGGGGACCTGATAACACCAGTGCCCTTTCTCACCACAACAATGGCTGTCTCCACACACTGGGGCCAGTGAAAGGGAGAGACAAGGAGGTAGGGGTGCACATTAACAGCCCCCTTCCACATTCTGGATATTTGTCTTACTGTTGGTTATGCTAACCACACTGCCAGGCATCAAGAGCAGGGGCTGCCACTCACACCTGGCTCACCACAAGCCCCAGGTGTCCTTGCTGGGCAGGCTCAGCTCAGAGTTCCATGCAAGCACTGGTGAGAAGGAGTTGTTCCTCACAGCACCTGCACCTTCCTGTATAAAGCTGCATGCTACAGGTGCCAAAGTGGGCTCAGTGCACACAGGTAGACAGCGATTTCCTGGAGCTTGGCATCTTGCATGTGGAGAAGCACCTGGGAGTTCTCCATGGAGAGCACAGAGGAGATCCTCTCAGAATGCACATGAGGTTTGAACCTGCTAACCTGCAGCAAGAATTGAGAGGATTGTGTCAGGCGCTGCTGGTACCAGAAGATGTAGGGAGCAGAGTTGCTGGAGGAGAAATTGCAGTGAAGAGTTGTGTTGTGTCCCACCTGGATGGCAGTTTCTTGGGCAAACTGTAACACAGAGTCCTTCTGTGTGTGTCCTGCATGCAGACTGTAACAAGGAGTTCTTTTGTGAATGACCTACAAAGCCAGAACAGCATCTCATCACTGCTTGAAGATTTATCTCTTCTCTCCCTCTCTCCTGTGTCTATCATTTCACCAAATTTCTCACTGTCTCCACTCTCCATCTCCCTTTTCATGGGATGTGAAATGCTGAGCTAAGTACACATGCACTCTTCTTTCTGCAGATGCTATTCCCATACCCAAGTCTGTCAGCTTACCTACTTTTTAGCAGTATCTCACCTGGCTTTGAGTCCATCTGCTCTCTTTCTCCCTCAGCTCTATTAACAGTTTGTCTCTCTTCCCACATGCAGCACAAGAGATGAGCCATTCCTTCTGTACCTCATGTCATTATTTTTTACTGCAACATTTACTCCATACTTCACACAAGATTATTTTTCCTTGCTGTGTCCTCATGTAGCATCTCTGTTCTTGCATGGACTTCTTTCCATGTTTACCAAGGATCACGTCCATCTCCACATACACTGACAGAATTTTGACCAGAACATCTAGGAGGGCACAAGCTCCTATTTGCCATCCTGATCTGTTCCCTAGCAGCAACCTCTCTTTCACCATACATACATATGAACAACGCATGTAAGATTGCTAGGCATCTGCAAAGGAAACATGCAGATGCTTATTCATCCTTGTATACTTGTTGCTCCTGACATCTCCCCGACTGATTCCTGTACCCATCTGCAGCCCCTGCTCTCCCTACAGAAAGCACTTCCAGTTCTTCCAGGGATGCAGGACTCCAATTTTCCCCCTCCAGAAGTGATGGGATGCCATCTTGCCCTTAGCTTGCTCTCCCGAAAGTCAGGTCACAACTGAAGGCCTCCATGCCAACAGGCATGCATGGATGGACAAGGAGCAACTGGTAAACTGTATGAGAAAGAAGAGGCCTACAGAAAATGGAAGCGAGGACAGGTACCCTGGCAGGAACACAGAGGAATCATCAGCAGCCAGGGATCAGGTTAGGAAAACTAAAGCCCTATTAGAATTTAATTTGGCCAAGGACATCAAGGA